CTCTCTCACTCACACACACACACACACACACACACACACACACAGAGAAAAAGAAAAAAAACACCAAAAATATAGTGCTATAAAAAAAAAAAAAAACAATCTAACCCTTACAAATAGGCAAAATGTGATCTTTCACTTCTTGTTTTCCAGTCTCCTTCTTAACTTGATTACATGGCTTCAGAAAATTGAGTCTCATCAATCAAGTAATAACAGAGTACAAACAGGTTTTTAAAAATATTTATTACTGAATAGCTACTTCCTGCCCCGGAAAAATCATGACAGTACCATCAAGAGTATGGGAACAGTAGAGGGGTATTACAAAAGTTGGAAGGATACAAAATGTTCTTTTTTTTCATAAATAATGCTTTACAATTTACCTGTCACATGACAGTTCTGACAAAAGTAGAACAACCTGATCAGCTGATGGGGTTTTACTTCTTTTGTGTGTGTGTGCGTGACGCATTGACGCTTTTGATGTACACAGAGCACGGCAGGTATTCACAGAGGACAACATAACAGAGACGCAAACATGGCATGCAGTTATTGTAGGAAAATGCCACCAAAATGAAACGGAACAAAAAGCTGTTGAACCCCATTAAAAATAAAAGATTAACACAAGTCATCTTTTTCTGCCACACAATAAATGTTAAACTTTCTTTTTAAACACATTACCATTACTTACATACTGAGCCCCCTAAAGATCACTCAATAGAATAGTTCGCCAGGCTACATTTACCTCGCAATAACCTTTTATCTGGCTGATGAATTTAAGGTTGAGCTGTATCATACAAAAGAAACAGACTGGATCTCTGAAAACGACTGCAGACAGCTTTAAGTCACTTTAGCGGCAACCGTGCCTTCACTGCAGCAATAATGGCTGGAACATGGTTGCTTTTAATGGGAGTAAAACTTGCACTGGGTCAGGAATGTGTTGATGCTACTTCATGTTGCTGATACATAAATCAGAAGCACCACAAATATCAAAAGTACCACGCCTGCTACAGCTGGACATCCATAGCACCACAGACTGAAACACAGCAGTGGGCAAAGTCCAAGCTGGGGAGGTTACAATAACTCTCTAAAGGCGATAACTGTGGCGTGTCTTTTTGTATAGTTATAGTAACTGATTTTAATATATTCAAAAAACAAAACAAAGCCACACAAAAAAAACTAAATTAGAAATGAATTTGACTGATAGCATTATTGCTACAAAAGTCAAATGCATCTCAAATATTTTAATATATATAGTGTGCCTATAGAGCAGATAGTAGTAGTGCAATAATATCAATATTGTGAAGTGCTATTATGACAGGCCTGGTGCAATAACATTAACTAAACATACAGCAACAGCTAATGGCAGAAGAAATGCTTCCAACCAGTTCAGAGATCTTTTTCCAATCAGTTTTAAAGAGTAACTGAACTGGACTGCAATCACAGGGAATGGAGGGCAGACTGCTTTTGATACTGACAGAACACAAATCGTATTATGGTCGTAGATCGCTTTGTTGTAATGATGCAATCATATCCTTTCATTTTCCCGCTTGTGAGGGGAAAGGAAGTTCATATCAATGTGACTATTTTATGGTTCGTTAGAAACGCATCTTTGTGATTTAAAGAAATAAATAAAAATACATGTCTGCAGTTAGGTTCAAAATTTGTGCAGACTTTCAGCTTTGATTTAAGCAGTTTTAGAGAAATTTTGCTTTAACTGTTTGGGGATTACAGCCATTTTTATACACAGTTCCTCAAATTCAGAGGATCAAAAACGACTGGACAAGTTAACAAAATTTCAGGTACGAGGATAGTTTTTAATACTTGGATGAAAATTCTTTGAGCTTTTTCCCGGGACCTGCTCTCTCAGGCCTTTACCGCAGCCACCTTCAATGGCTTCTTGATTGTAGGTCTCTGCATTGAGTTTTGTATTTAATAACTGTAAAGCATACTCTGATGGGTTGAGATCAGGTGACTGACTTGCCCATTGAAGAATATCCCATTTCCTTGCCTTGAGATACTCTTTTTTGTTTACTTTTACAGTATGCTTTGGGTGACTATCAATTTTCACAAAGAAGTGGTGTCCAATTAAGGTTTACAGCATTTGTTAAACCCCTTAAGGCTGAAAGTCATATCTTCAATGTTTGATTTAAATTTAAATTCCACATGAAAAGAACTCCAGTCGTGATCTTTAGGGGGCTTTGTACTTAACATAAACATGCTAAGATTTGCTCTACATATATTTCCTTTCAAAATATTCACATTGCATTTACATCATATTTTATTCCCTGTGTAAGGAGCAACCTTTCTTGTCTTAAAAGACAAACATGTATGCGAAAGGAGAAAGCCTTGCTTATATATCACCTTCTATCAACATTCTGAGAAATCCTCTCATTTAATTTTTCCTCAATTTACGGAAATAATTGTGCGTAAGGAAGTAAAGACGTAAACGAAATAAAGAAAACATTTCTTTGAAGCCCTTTGTATTTGGGTTAAAGACATCAAGTTCTTGTACACACCTCTTGGTGTGGGAGTGATGCTAAACGGATGCTTCAGGTGAAAAACAGCATGGAGGGTTTAAAACTTGAACAGGTCGATAAAGTGCTGCGGAGAGATGGGCATCAGGCAGCTGTCTGGATCGTTGGCTGTGCACGGGTGGCCAAAGTCCTGGAAGGAAGTCAACAGCTTAATCATTAGAACGAAGGCAGACTGGGAAACCTCCGAGTTGGCGCAGTCATGATTCTAGCATTTACTTAGAGTAGAATTAAAACTGATTACAGCACAGAAGCGAGCTCTTACTCTTAGGGTGATTTAGTAATTATGTCATAAACTGTGAACATAACAGCACTGGTTATGGCAGTTTTAATTAAAAGTTCTCAGGGCCATGTGTCACTGTTTGCTCGTGGTAAAAACACACGGCCTATTTAAGTTCATATAAAAGATAAAATGTGATGTGACACTTGATAGATAAGCTTGTGAAAACTAAACAGAACTTAGGAAGGATTTTACAAAAATGTGGTGAGCAAGTTCTGGATGATAGCACATGGAAGTGTCCAAATATTTATGTTGGACAAAGTGACAGCTGACATTCAGGGGGAAAAAAAAAAATCTATTTTAACCGGAGCAGGTTAAAGGAGAAGTCAGCGGAAACAATGTCAGAGTTTACAAAACATGATGACTGGACAGCAAAAGACAAAACTCAATACAAGGAAATGAAATCGGACCATCAGGGCAATCATCGGGGAAATGAGACAAGATGGCAATCTAAGAAATAGAAAAGCATTATGGGACATAAAGTACCTTCAATAACAAAGCCAGATGGCAATCCTTAAGGTATCAGGGACAAGGGGAACCAGGAGAAGAGGCAGGAAGGATGGGCGCCAAGCAAGGAGAAGGATGCAGAGAAAGCAGCAGGTTAAATAATTTAGGTACCCAGGAAAGGATAATAACGAGTTTGTGGCAAGTAAATAAAGAAACAAACAGAGGAAACTGAATGTATAGGAATACTTTTTAATAAAAGTGCTGCACTGTTCAGTTTCTGTATCTCTAGAATTTCCCTGATCTTGCTATAACATGATCTCTGTCTTAGTTAGTTAGTTAAAAGATCAGATTTTCTGTGCTGCTGAAAGCAAACCAGTCGGTTAATTTGCTTGACACTATTATTTTTTTAAAATTATTGTACTGTAATCGTGAACAAGGATCTGCACTACAGGCAGTGCTCATGCGGTTCTTTTTGATTCAGCAAACCTTTTTATTGCTGGCTTTAAGAATTTAGAGTAAACTGAATATTAAATAATTAGAGTTAAAAATACAAAAGCAATACCAAGGAAGGTAAACTATTCAAAATATAAAGATATGACTTCACGGTGTTTGAGATTTTTCTTTTGTATCAAACTTCTGTAAAGACTTTTCTGTCTCTTTGCCATAGGAGACAAATTTTTAAAATAAGATAACCAACTGGTTGGCCAGAGGTTAAGTATGCAACATCCTCAAGACTACTGCACCAGCTGCCTCATGGGAGGCAATATGTGTCCAAACTATTCTGACTCAGATTGCCTGCAACCACCCTCACACAAAGGTTTGCAAATAACTGCTGTAGTAGGCAGATGACCAACACGTTGGCATCAATCTGAGTTGATGCATTTCATTTTAAAAGGGTTTGTTTGTATTCTGGCTATCTTACTATAGCCAAGGTCGCAGAGTACCTATAGTACACTTTGCAGTTAAATTGTCATCCTGCAGAAACTGGATGGCAAATATTTCCCCCAAATATTTGTGGCGGAATTTCTGTTTCAAATTCTTTCTGGACTCTGAATGTAAGCATTCAATGAGAATTTCTGTTTTAATTTCAGTGTATGTAGCAATAAGGGATTTGAGATTTTCACCAACTTATCAGTTGACACATTATCAAAAGCAGATTGTATGGAACTTTCAAGTAGACCCTATTCAATTTCCAAACTGTTAGCAGACTAACTAATCATATTGCCATTTTATCATCGCCTCGATACAAGTTGGTTTAAAATCTAGTTGCAGATCTAGTCCCCGTCTTTAACTTCACTGGACATAATTGCAATAATTTTAGTCGTGCAGTTGTTAAAGGCTGCTGTTTCTGTGTGTCTGTAGCATTAAGCAGTCCAGGTTTAATTTAGAGTAAACACCAAGCTGTGGTTATTCAGGGATTCAGGTTATTCATTGCTGAAAGGGGATACAAGCAAAAGCTACAGCAAGCAGTTAAACTTGGACTAAACCTGTTAGGTTATTTCAGAATAGCAGTCTGGTGAACTAAATTTATAATATAATAGTCATATTACTATTACATGACTACAAGTCATGT